TCATCTTATGATAAAAATTTGTTTTTCGCGTGACTCTCCCGGACGGTTAAATTAAAAATTTACAGAGATTTGCTTTAATAAAAAGATAAACATTCCCCTTGCACCTACTGTCCAAATTATAGGATTCTTGCACAAATAGTTCAGGAGTCGACAGACAGACAGAGAGGGAAATATCTTCAGTTTGTTTTAATATGTTTGTTTATAAGTCAAAACTTTGTATCATAATAATTATTAAAAGAAAGCGTTGATTACTTTTAATATCAGTAATTAGTTAAATTTTTAAAGTGTATTACTAAAAAAAATTTATAATATATCATACTAAATTTTGGAATGCAATTAATACTTCTATAATATATAAAACTTCTATAATATAGGCAATATAAGGTATAGGTAGATGAATTCTTTTTTTAAAAAAAAGCATTTAGAAAGGCTATTTATTGGAAATTAAGCAATTTTTAGTTCAATGATATCTAAGAAAAAGCATAAGATTTATGGTACAAAAAAGAAGAACATAACTTATCAAGCATGAATCAGATGTTAAATGATGTTTTATTTTACTGTCTGTCTTGTAATTAAATCATTGTTCTCAATTTATTTAAACATCAGTGAAAACTTGGATACTTAAAGTTTAATATTTTAAAGTACTTCGAAGAAGAGAAGAACAGAAAGTAATAGCTAAATATTTAATATAACTCGTTCAGAAAACTAAAGTTACTGTTCAAATAATATCCATTGTAAATTTTAAGATCTCTGTAACTATTCCCCAACCACTATTACATATTTTTCCCAACGATAGAAAGACAAACTCATTTGCATCTATAACTCCAGATGGCGCGTTCATCGTTCAGTTTCTCACGGCTCATAAGACGTTGTGGTCCAAAAGACAGCTTTAAGCTCGCTAGCAAAAGATAATAACCTTTGACTGCAGAGACCCTGGGTTCTAGGCTTTCTTAGATCAAACGAACGAGAATACTATGCCATTTTTATGCCACATTTTATCGAACGTTTGGGAGTAAAATGAGATAAGAAGGGATATAACTTTGTTCATTCTATTTCTAGTTGGGAACCATTTACCGTGAAACTAGCTTTGAATCGTAGTAAATATAAATCTCCCCCGTGTTCTTTTAGTCTTGATGCTCTAATGTAAAAATTTTTGATTGTCTCAATTGCATCGTATTGCTAAAATAAATCGCTCTTTGATGTGAATTTGGCAGAATAAACTGATA